AAAACATATTATTAATTTTATAAATAAATTACGTGTAACGACTAATTTAAATCAAATTCTCGAACCAACAAAGTCTTAAAAACAAAATATACAAATGTGTATTGATAATGGAATCACAAAAGAATGTAATACAATTAACTTATATAATCAATTTAGTATTAAAAATTTAAGATATTCAAAAAGTGTAATTGATAATCAGTAAAATAATTAAAATGTTATCAAAATATAAATATTATGAGGGTAAAAGTCAATGTGCACAAATCAAAATACACTTTATTTTTTTCGAATAATAATAAGTTTGATCAGTCAACAATTGGCCAGCTCGTAGTTATGACTTTTATTCAATTAATCACTTGAAATCATATTTAAAAAGAACATGAAAATATATAAACATTTGATAAAAACAATATTTTAAAAGCATGTCATTTTGTTTGGAAAAAAATACATTAAAAAATTTAAACAAGTTAATTAAAAGTTAAAGTAAACTGTTGTACAATAAATCAAATTACATTAATATTGCGAGACTAATGACAATTGGAATTTTTTAATAATTGTAATTTTTATCATTTTTTTTCACAAAATCGTAACTGAAAAAAATGACGCTTTCATGATACGAGTTTATCATTTTTATGAGGTTGTAAATAAAAACAAAAATTTTGATATGCAAACGATTGTACATCAACAGTACTATAATTTATCACTGCTTTATATCATACCGTAACATTATACAAACACGTTACAAAATGTGTTTATTATCATAACAATCATTATCAATTATAATAAAAAATTATTATATTTCTAATATTTGTTTTTTACAAATTAAAAAATAATTTAACTTAAATTAAATAATTTTAATAAAAATATTCATAAAAACACCACCAACAAACTATACATATTATTATAATTATATTAATATAAACTATTAAAATGAAATAAGTTGTTGAAAAATTAGATGGGTTTTATATCCACCATTATTTTTTTCTCAAAAAACTTTTATGAAAACTTAAAATTAAGATAAACAAGTTCAAATATTCAAACTTAACACAAACAACAGAGATGTGTTTGTGTTGAGTTATTGCGGATTCCCATTACCGTTTGGCAATTTAATTAATTTATTTATACACATAACGCATATAAATTAACAATTAGATAATGCATATTACGCGCGACTGATGTTTGTTTGTTTTTTATGTTATTTATTATGTTTAAGTGGTAGATAAATACAATTTATTAACTATTAGAAATGGGTTTAAAGTGGATATAAATTATTGATTTCTTATTAGTATTTTTATGGTTAATAAACTGAATAACAATTTATGGTTTAGATACTATATTAAACTAATCAGTA